TTTTGTGTTTGTGTGTGTGTGTGTGTGTGTGTGTGTGTGTGTGTGTGTTCTCTGGCTGAGCGCAGAATCAATCACACACTGACTCACTGACTGAGATTTCAGGCCATAATGTGCCATAGATAAGCAAAACTATCTCTCTATCTAGTATTCACTTTCTTTTTTATTTTTCCTCAAAAGAGGTTTATAATTTAAGTTTCTTTCTTTTAGTAAGAATCATGCATAGTAAGGAAAGGCACATTTATTTATATACAGAAACACATTTCATATACAATAATTCAAAGTGCTTTACATAAATGGGATTGCTAATAAAGTATTCAAAATGCATAAAATCTGAAAATAACAATTGAGTTTTTTAAAGAAGTATTATGAATCGATTTAAAATGTATTAAAAATGATGAAATGGATATTTCCTTTTTTGATGTTGTCAAGTCTGTTTTCTTTGTAATTCTGAATTATGAACTCATTTTTACAACTATAAATTACAGTACAAATAATGTGTTTATGACCTTTTAAAGGTAACATCATTTATTTTTTTCAATTCACTTTATTCTAACAAAATAGAATAAAGAGAAAAAAAACTGGAATAAAATAAATAAATAAATAAATATTAAAGGAAACATTTTAAATTAGAAATGTTGTCTTAGCAAATAATTTAAATTAGTTTGCTGAAGTACTAAATAATAAAATAATTTAAACTAAAACTGAAATAATTTATTAAAGCTTAATGAAACAACCTAATAAAAATGTTAAAAAAAAAAGTATTTAAAATGTTAAAAACCAAGTAAGAAGCAAAGAGAAAAATAAGAAATAATATAAGAATATCAGGACTATTAATAAGAGGCCATTGCATTACCATTGTACACATAGTTTCTGCAAAAATGCATAGTTATTATTGTGCAATTATAGATTCATATGAAACTGTAAGAAGCTTAAGGATCTTTAAGGATCTAAAGTCACATTGTACTTTAAGTGTCAGGGCTTTGCTATGCTGTCAGAGGAGATAAAAATCTGTGTTTGGTTGATTGAGATGTTGTCGTGTTTTTCTGTGGTCAACAAAAACACTACATTTAGCTTTACTTTTTGGATTCATTAATTGTTTTAGGATTTATTTAGCTATACTTTTTGATGATTCATAAATCAGGTACATAATATTTCATTTTAGGTTTTTGGCTTGGATCATGTAATTTTTAGATTAATATCTAAACATGTTTATATACATCCTCATTTAGAGTTCAATGCATGTACACATGTGTCTTACATAAGTGAACACGAGCAGCCATTCTTTAAGACCTGATGTGTAAAATTGAGAGTGAAAGTGTGTGCGTGCGTGTGTGTGTGTGTATATAATGTAATCCAAAGCTACTCACTCTCTTGAGCGGCTCCATATGCTGCTGTAACTCAACACACACACACACACAGATACTAGACACAAATGTACTGCTCGGAAATGAGGCACAGAGAGAAAAAAATCAGTTTGAAAGGAGCCTGAAAATGGAGGAGAGAAACTATTCAAAGAGACAGAAGAGAAAGAATAAAAGACAGACATGGACATGAGCGTGAGAGGATGTAAGAGAATTACAGGCCAGACTGCAGATAGAGATGAGGATGTTTATCTGATCTTGATTGTGTGTTTCAGTGATTATTACACACACACGAGCTGATGGTCATCTGATGCTGTGTGTGTCCATGGGGTTTCTCTGGAGACTTGTCAGTAGTGTGAACCTCAGTCTTCGTGTTTCATTAAAACTGTTGGGCGTTTGACTCTCGACCCTGAGTCCTGACCCCTGACCTCTGACCTCCTCCTACTCCTCACAGTCTGTCTTTAGAACAGAAATGCCAGCACACTCATGTTTATGTGTGTTTGTGTGCGTACAGAGATCCTTTTCGTTTCTATATTAGATACTTCCTGTGCTGTTTGAAGTTGCCAAGTCTCTTTTATTTGTTATAATAATTCTAATTATTTTGAGCCATAAATTATTTTTTGTACAGCTATCATGTCCAGTACAAATAACTTGTGCATGACCTTTTTTTAAATTAATCAAATTGTAGGTTTTTTTTTTGTATTTCACTTAAATAGTACTTTGATGTAGTGTTGATATTGTAACTATTAAAAATAGTTTTCTGTCATAGAAATAGAACTGCAATGAAATTTGATTAATAAAGTATAATTATTAAATTAAAAATAAAGAAAATAAGAAATAAAAAAGTAAAAATAGAAAAATATATAAAAAATAGAAATAGAAAATATAAATATATTTTATTATTATCTAACTATTAAAAATCATATTCTGTAATTAAAATAATGCTAGAATAAAATTAAATATGAATGAGTAAAAAATCTAAAATTAGAAATGTCACCCTAGCAACTAACTCAAATAAGTTTACTTTTAGTACTAAAACTCAAGCTAAATAGAAATATTAAAAAGCTAAAACTTAAAAAAAAGTGCTAAATTACTAAAACTATATAAATATATAAAATTAAAGCTAAGTAGAAATATTAAAAACTAATAAAATTGGCAAAAGCAGATAAAATTGTTAAAACTAAAATTAAAATAAACTTAAATGAAATGTGATCAAATATATTAAATGTCATCATAATAGGATATAAATAATTCTAAAATAACACCACTATGGTGTGACACATGAATTTTTAAAAGTACAAATCAATCTAATCTCTAAAATAACACATTCAATGAACTGAATGTATGACAATTATGAAACCATTTGAAACTGATGTTTAAAGTACTTCTAGATCAAGTATAGCAAATCAAACCACTGGACACCGATGTCACTATACTTGATGTGTCATAGCAACTCATGTGTCAATACTGTGTGTGGGTGTATATGGGAGAGAGATGTGTCCAGCCTTCAAGAAACATCATTTTCAGGTCATTTTTGAACCCAAGGCTGATATCTCAAACACTCAAGGGTATTTACCATCTCTCTTTCTTTCTGTCTTTTTCTAGGTAAGAAGGATCAAGAGGCATCTGAGGATAAGAAAAACGCTCAGAAGAAGAAGGTGAAGGAACTGAAGGTGCTCGACTCCAAAACATCCCAGAATCTCTGTGAGTAACAGCTGAGCATGAATCCTCATTCAGATGTGAAATATCTCACTAGTTTAACACCGTAATTTATAGTGTTGTTTACTCAGAACTCTGTGTGTGTGTGTTGCAGCTATATTCTTGGGTTCAAACAGGATGCCTTATGAAGAGATGAAGAATGTCATCCTGGAGGTCAACGAGAAAGTTCTCACTGAAAACATGGTGCAGGTAGGAAAGTGGATTTTTTTAGTGGAAAGCAATCCGGCCTAACTTGTTATAATGCATGTTTCATTTTGCATGCAAGAAAACAACAAATGTTGAAATCAAAAGAAAATTCATCTAATTACCTTTTATAAAAGTTTGTTGTTTTGATATTATTTAAGACTATATCTGTATCTATATCTAGATTACTGTGCTGAGATCCTTAATCTTAAAATTAAGGACATTTCTCTTCAAGTTCAATTTACTTTTGTTTTTTGGTCTTATTGTGAATGAATCTTTAGTGTGTTATTCCAAAACTAAAAATGTTTCATTCGTAATATTTTATCAAAACATAACTTTAATTTTTCAACCAGCTTCATATAGAGCCATTTTTCATCATCCAATCAATTCCCCATTATATAAATCAAGCCCCACCCTAAAATACCATTGAATACTGTGTTTTGCCTCAGAAATGCAAATGTCTCTTATGCAATTGCCAAACTGTATTCATAAAGTCTTGGTGGGCAAACCAAAACGTTTGGTGGACAAAAACAGTGAAACTGGCATCATCTTTTCTTGAGTAATTACCTTGTGCTAAACAGCTGCTGTGTGTTTTTCAGAGTTTGCTGAAGCTGCTGCCGGAGCAGGAACAACTGAACACATTATTAGAGATGAAAGACGAGTATGAGAAGCTGGCTGAATCTGAACAGTTTGGAGTTGTGGTGAGAGAAACACACTTATAAGCACTCCTGTAAAAATGTATAGTGTATACATATATAGTTCATTAATGCATTAGTACTCCAATGACTTCTCACAAACATTCACTCAGATACAGGGGTGTAGCGTCTGGGTATGCAGGGTATGCAGGTGCATATGGGCCCGGGCAGATTGGGGGCCCGCCGAGCCGAGGGGTAACTTTTAAATGAAACGAGGGAATGAATAGAGCCCTGCACGGGCCCCACCCAGCCCTTGTCCGACAGCTTATCAGAATTACCGGCCCGAGTCTGACCCAAGCCTGTGTCTTTTTTCTCTCTCTCTCTCTCTTTCCCATTTATAGCTGCCTGTTACAGCCATTAAAATAGTTCAGTTTCGATTTTTAATGGCAAAGTGGTTATATTTCTTTTCGTTTCTTGAAGTTAATTTAGAAATATGTTTGGAACATTTTATGTTTGCTAGATTCAAGTTTTTGTTTTTTAAAGTAAAGACCAAGCGGCCAGCGGCAGACAGTAAGTTGAGCAAATGTTTGAAAACTAAATAAAAAGCTAAAAAAGTTTGAAAAAATAAAAGCTATATAAAACACTTCATGCATTTCACAATATTCATTTAAAAATTTAACCTGGATAAATGTGCGCTATTAGGTGCATATCCAGTCATTTGTGCGGAGCGTGGAAGCTGAAGCGCGCTTTGCAGGACATGGAGGTGCCGGCGCATTTATTTTTTTATTTTTTTAATAACAGTGGAAACTTAAAATACGCCGTCATTTTTGCTCATAACGGTAAGGGTAATACAGGTGCATCTCAATAAATTAGAATGTCATGGAAAAGTTCATTTATTTCAGTAATTCAACTCAAATTGAACTGCAAATGGTCTACTTTTATTTGTGTGCACTCACAATATCAACAAAACGTTGTTGGTTTTTAAAATAAAGAAAACATACAGGATGTGCTTTCAGCCATCTCGAGCGCTTCACAAAAATGAACCAAAACTCAGGGAATATTTGCCTCACAGACATGATAAATAAATCTATAGAATGCTTTAAATTACTACTTTAAAACAAAATCATGCAAATTGAGAACAAAACAAACTCTTTCATTATGTAATCCGTAAAGATGCATTTCTCTATAAAGGCGTCCAATGAAGAGATGGTCAGGATCTCAACTTCTTCTAACGATCTCAAAGTTCATAAAAAATAATTCAAATATGTCCTTACTGTTTTTTACTATTTATTTATTTGTACATTTTATTTTTTATTTTTTTCGTTGTTTTTTTACGGGCGGGGGGCAGCTGTGCCAAGATTGTGTTTGCATGCAGTACAAATAGCCTACGGTGGCATTTTAGTGCCACATTGAAAAAAAAATGTTTAAAAAAGATTAACGTCATAATGTTTTAAGAATAAAGTCAAAAGTACGATGATAAACTCAGGTTATACATATTGCATAAAGTTAATGTGAAAATTCCATCTATACTCCACCAAAAAAAAGCCTGTGGCATCCAACCTGTCATTCTTCACATTTAACACGAAAAACAGCAATAAAACATAGGCTTATTGACGTTTTTTTAAACTCTTGACTGATCGATTTCATGAGACATTCGTTTGTATTAAAGGGGTCATATGATGTTGCTAAAAAGAACATTATTTTGTGTATTTGGTGTAATGAAATGTGTTTATGTGGTTTAAGGTTAAAAAAACACATTATTTTCCACATACTGTACATTATTGTTTCTCCTCTATGCCCCGCCCTTCTGAAACGCATCGATTTTTACAAAGCTCATCGGTCTGAAAAGCGAGGTGTGCTCTGATTGGCCAGCTATCCAGTGCGTTGTGATTGGCCGAATACCTCAAGCATGTGACGGAAATGTTATGCTCCTTACCATACTGTGATGCCCTGTCCGGCCGGAGCGACGATTCAAAAACATGAAAACCCATTACAAACGAGGCATTTGTTGCATCCAGTGGGGACGTAATTACGGATTATAATGACTTATACTGTCTTTTTATGCGTTGCGTTGCATCGCGCCGCGTAAACATAAAACCATGTCTGCATTTGTGATCGGAGAAATGACAAACAAGCGCTACTCTACACTGCTCAAAACTCACGTTTGAATCGTCAGTGGCAAATCCTTAAAATGAAAACGTACAAATTTAAACACAAAAAAAAAAAATTTGCATGTGGGCCCTGGGCTGACTTGCTACGCCACTGCTCAGATACATGTGTTTATCTCTCTGTAGGTCAGTTCAGTGAAGCGTCTGAAGCCCCGTCTGACCTCCATCCTCTTCAGACTTCAGTTTGAGGAGCAGGTGAATAACGTCAAGCCGGACGTGGTGGCGGTGACGGCCGCCTGCGAGGAGCTTCGGAAGAGCGAGAGCTTCGCCAAAGTGCTGGAGATGACGCTGCTGCTGGGAAACTTCATGAATGCAGGATCACGCAACGCCAAAGCTTTCGGCTTCAGCATCAGTTACCTGTGCAAGGTGATTTCCAACATCTGCATTAATGAGTTTGACGAATGCTGTCCACTCTACATTTTGTGTGCATCTGATGTCTTTCTAAAGAGTAACTTTTTTCTACTTCATTTTCTGTGAGTTAATAGCTTATCTAACATATCTAATAGTTCTCTTTCTAAAGAACATGTGATTTGTGCCTCTTAAAGCTTTTGAAATGTAACGGTTTGTACCCTGTTTGTGGAAAGTGCCTGATGTGTTGGTCACCACAAAGTTGGCAGTAAACAAATGTGTGTGTGTGTGTGTGTGTGTTTAGTTGAGAGACACTAAATCAGCCGATCAGAAACAGACTCTACTGCACTTCCTGGCGGAAATATGTCAGGAGCAGTATCCTGAGGTCATGACCTTCTCAGAGGAGCTCATCCACGTGGAGAAAGCCAGCAGAGGTCTGTCTCAATCTCATCGATGGTTCTTTTATTATTTTATATAAACTAGTTAGTTTTTCAGTGAGAATCAGTGAGATTTTTTTTTATTCAACAAAGATGCATTACGTTGATCAAAAGTGACATTCATGATGTTACAAAAGATTTCTATTTCAAATAAATGCTGTTCTTTTAAACTGTCTATTCTAAAGAATCCTGAAAAATAAAATATATGACAGTTTCCCCAAAAATATGAAGCAACGCAGTTGTTTTTAAAATTGATAATAATCAGAAATGTTTCTTGAGCAGCAAATCAGCATATTAGATTGATTTCTGAAGGATCATGTGACTCTAAAGACTGGTGTAATGATGCTGAAAATTCAGTTTTGATCACAGGAATAAATTACATTTTAAAATATATTACAATAGAAAACACGTATTTTCAAGTGTAATAATATTTCACTATATTACTATTTTTTTTACTGTGTTTGATCGAATAAATGCACCCTTGCTAAGCAGAAGAAACTTCTTTCAGAATCAATAAAAATTGTTTGAACGGTAGTGTGCTACTAATCTCATTTCAGAATGGTTATGTATTTATATTCATCATTTTTTCTCTCTCTCTTTGTCTCTCAGTGTCAGCAGAGACGCTTCAGAAGAATCTAGATCAGATGGGAAAGCAGATTAAAAACCTGGAGAAAGACATCGAGACGTTCCCTCCTCCGCAGAGCGACAGAGACAAATTCGTAGAGAAAATGACCATATCCTTTACTTCCTCCCGGGCCTGTTGCATGACAGGAAGTGTCACTTTGGTTTCCCCAGTCATTTCCTCAAGCAATAATGCCATAAAAATACAGTGTTGATTATCCATTGTGACATCACTTCCTGTTTGGGTTCCAGAACAAACATGAGCTTATGAATTCATGAATGATAATCCATTCAGGAAGTTCGTGAGGATGTTTGTTCTAGTACTTGCTCTCTGATGAGGGAAAAAACAACTCATTTAATGTATGTAGTAATTTTTTACAGTATAAATATAAATGTTGAGTCCTACACGAGTTACATGAGTTACAGTGAATCATAATAGCGTGTGATTTTTCCTTGACAAAGTTGTGTACAGTTTTGTAGCGACGGCTGGTGAGCAATTTGAGAAGCTCAAGCTGATGCATGAGAACATGGAGAAGCAGTATGAGGATTTGGGCAAGTACTTTGTCTTCGACCCCAAGAAAATGAGTCCAGAAGAGTTCTTCGGTGACCTCAACAACTTCAGGAACATGTTCCAGGTCAGTACACCTTAATAAATAAGCTTTCTATTGATGTATGGTTTGTTAGGATAGGACAGTATTTGGCCAAGATACAACTATTTGAATATCTGGAATCTGAGGGTGCAAAAATATCAAAATATTGAGAAAATCACCTTTAAAGTTGTCCAAATGAAGTTCTTAGCAATGCATAATACTAATCATAAATTAAGTTTTGATATATTTATGGTATGAAATTTACAAACGATCTTCATGGAACATGATCTTTACTTAATGTCCTAATGATTTTTGGCATAAAAGAAAAATCGATAATTTTGTCCTATACAATGTATTGTTGGCTATTGCTACAAATATACCCGTGCTACTTATGACTATATGTGACCCTGAAGCACAAAACCAGTCTTAATAATTTTTCATCAAAATGTAATAACTTTGCTTCTTTTGTGCATGGCATCAGCAGTCTCCCTTATTTTTTTTAAACCCTCATTTAGTCACTTTTCATCATCCAATCAATTCTTCATAATATATTATAAATCAAGTCCTACCATAGTTTTTTTCTTTTCTTTTAATATTCTAGTTCAGCTTAGAAATGCAACATACTGTAGTACAGAATTAAAATGGGCTTCAAATAACTCTATAAGTGGAAGAGTAATAAAGATAAAATATTATAGACCGTAAACTTTTGAACAGTAGTACATTTGGATTTCTGTGTAGAGACCGTATTTATGCACACACACCTGTGCTGTGTGTGTGTGTGTGTGTGTGTGTGTGTGGGGCAGATGGTTCGGTCATCAGTCTGTTTAGTATATTAAAACAGACTTTTGTCTAGACATATTCTCTGTCATAAAGGGACCAGAAACTCCATGTCAAAACACACACACTTATCTTATCCGTTCATCATAACACTTTATAAACTTTATTCTCCTTCAGCTGAACAAACACAAGAAGATGTGAATCAGAAATCTTGAGGTCACAACTTAACTTGTGTGTGTTTGTTTTACAGCAAGCAGTGAAAGAGAACCAGAAACGGAAAGAAGCAGAGGAGAAGATTCGTCGAGCCAAACTGGCGCGAGAGAAAGCGGAAAAAGAGAAAGAGGAGAAACAGAAGAGAATGAACGCTGGACAGATTCCCAACATCAATGATGGTAAAGATTCACATTGTGTGTGTGTGTGTGTATGTGTGTGTGTGTGTGTGTGTGTGTGTGAGACACATCCAGACATTTTTCCTCAAAACAATAAGAAAACATAATTTTCAAATATAATTTCTTTTTTTTCTCTCCTTTGGTTTTGGGGTGAAATGTGACCTGGACATGTTCTTGTGAGATTCAGACCATTTTGGAGAAAAAAATAACATATCCAGGTCACATTTCTCCTCCAAACAACAAGACAACTTCATTTTCAAATATAATTTTGTTTCTTCTTTTCTCCTTTCTTTTCTTGGTTTTGGGGTGAAATTTGACCTGGACATGCTCTTGTGAGATTTAGACCATTTTGAAAAAATCTCTCTAGCTCTCCTCTTTCCTGAGACGTACTCTTCATGAACACAGTTTTCTCCTTTTTTCCCGTCACTCACTGATTCACACTCAACATTTAATGTGGATCATGTGAAATCATTTGGCCACAGTAGTACATCTAATAAATAAGCTGTCTCTCTCTTGCACTCTCTTTTTGTATATGTGTGTGTGTGTGTGTCTCTTTCTCTCTATCTATCTCACACTCTCTTTTTGTATGCATGTCTGTCTGTGTGTGTGTGTGTGTGTGTGTGTGTGTGTGTGTGTGTGTGTGTGTGTGTGTGT